ACCATATAAACAAACCTTTAAATATACTTTGTATGAACAATGCACGCCACCGAGGGCAAGTTTGAATCTTTGCTGAAAAGTTTGAAACTTATATTTAAATGGTTTATATTATAGAATGAACGAATATATTTAAAAAAAAAATTTACGATTTTTTTTATGAAAAACTATGAATATTTAAAAAAAAAAATATCTCTATTCGGAAACTTTTTCTAATGGGTGTATATATTTCTTAATTTTACTAATAGCTTATCCACTTAGCGTTCGTTTAGTTTGATAGTTTACTAAGTAGCCTAGATACACACAGTTCTGGAAGAATTTTCAATTCAATTTCGTTTTTTTTTTTTTATTCATTTAATTCAATATTTGCCTAAATGGAAGGATAACAGTTAAGTATTTAGTTTGATCATTTACAGTGTTTATTTGAATTTCAAGCACATTTTTTAAGTCTTAGGCAAGCGAAAAAAATTTGCAAAAAATAACAATTTTCGTAACGTCCAAGCAATTTTTACTTGCTTTTACATATTTCAAAATAAATCAAATCCTCTTGTAACAATAAATTCTCTGCATCTGCTGATAGCAAATAGTATATGTATGTGGTACGTAAATATTTGGATTAATGGAAAAATTTTTCAAAAATATGAACCCGCTTTGATTGTCCATTTCGTCTTTTTAATACGAGTTGTAGTAATACATATGCCAACAACAGCTTCGTTAAGCGGTAAAATTTTCACTAAAAATCAGAAATATTTTAAATTCATGCATTTTGTATTCAATTTAGTAGATAAAATTTGTTGGCAACACTTCAGCAGCAAAATGTGTATTGAAGTGAGCTGCTCGAACACGTAATGTAAAAAAGAGAAGGAAAATGCTAACACTCAAATCCCGCCGCTGTGTCTCCATTCGCGCATTCTGGTAAGGTGGGCAAACCAACAGCCAACCCGTGTGGAGTCTTGAGTCACGTCAGAGAGAGAGAGAGGAGGCTTCGGAGAGGAAAGTTTGACTTATACGGTATAAGGGCCCGTTAAAGTCACCTCCAGTAGTTCAATATTAGTTGAGTCTATCTTGCAGAAATAGGCTCTCTGTATAAATGTTTATTCCTGTAAATTACTTCCAGCAACGTATTGTGCGCTAGGTTTGGGATCCACCTCCTAAAAAGAGCTACAGTGAAAAGGCAAAAAATGGCAAAAAAGGCAAGGTACCTTTATTCAACTGCTGGATATTTTCGTTCAATATAAGGCTGGAATTGCGGTGTGCGAGACAAGGCTGCATTGAGTACGCAGCGTGTGGCGTTTATTGCTGCTTCCGTTAGATGGCGCATAAATTTAGTGAATTTGTGATTGGGCGGAGACTAAAACACCTCACGGAAGCAAAAAAAAAACAACATTGGCCTAGTTTATGTGCCCGCCTGGCCGGAGAAGTTGGACGATGATACCAAAGAGTAGCTTCAACGAGTGCGTAGAAATAGCACTTTTACGTTAGGGCCAGCATAGAAGGGGTATTTAGTCCTGCTGTCGCAAACTTCAGTCGACATAAGCAATACCTCCGACAACGGCGTGAGGCTGATCGCTTTTGCCGCGGTATAGAAAATGGTAATTAGTAATACTGTATAGACACCAGCATTGAAACATCCACAAAGCCACTTGGGTGTCCTCTGAACGAAGAATTAAGAATCAAATTGATCACGTTGAAATAGACGGCAGATACGCATCAAGCGTTCTTGACGTGCGTTCCACACGATTGGCCAACATCGCATTACGGATAGGCAGCTAAAGTCCGCATGCGCGTCTCTGCAAAAAAGAACGTGCGCCAGGACAATGCAAGGAAGGCTGGGTATAGGCGCGTTTGTAAAAGTACCTGCCTGCAGAAGGGCCTGACCGTAATTGGGATGAATAACTCGCAAATTAAAGAGGAAATTCCCGCAGTTTTTTGTGTATCGATCCAAGCCCCCAAACGGTTCCAAATAGTGCCAAATTTCGATACTAGGAGTTGCTATTAAGCGATGATAGTTACTTGTAAATTTCGATAAATGTCAATAAACCATTTAGGGTATTCACAGACCTTCACATAGTGGGACGTCCTCATATAAGCTCACTCAAACCCCATGTGGAAAATGGTAAAAGACGACGCACTGTCCTGGTATATACTATCCGATTTTAATGTAATTCGGAGTATATGCTAGTTTTAACCAGAAAAGCGTACATCTGAAAGCACGTCACAAGCGGTCAATATTTACGTCCACCAACAATAATTTCACGAAATTTGTTGTACCTTGCTCTTTTACCCCACTTTGCTCTCTAGGCCCACCTCCTACAAATCTTTTTTGGCTCCAAGTAATAAATTTAATACATTTTCACGTAAGGAAACTTTTTGTTCGTAATTTTCCACTCTGTCTCACTGAGAACGCAACAAAAGTGAGTGTTATAATTTTTCGGAATTTCTCTTTTTTCCATTGCGTGATTTGCTTACTTAGAAAAATTTTTTATTGCGGTGTTAAAATCAAGCTACATATTGATTAAAGCGTTTCTTGCTTCAAAAAATCGGTCATTTGCGTTTTAATAGTGGGTAAATATTATTTTAGTGTTTTTTATTTTGTATTTTTTGCTGGTAACATTTTACAAAGTAATCGGTGATGTGTGTATTTCAATATTTTTATTTATCATATTTTGCTCAGGTATTGCTTACAGCTTCGGTGGAATTTGGCTCCATTTAAGTGAGTGAAAAATTAGTTGAATTTTTAATTAAAAAAGATAAACAATCCCAAAAGTATTGTAGATAAATACATACTACATACTTAAAAACATATACATACTTCTTCTATATATTGTTTGTTTCTCTTTTTTTGTAAAATATTTGCTGTTCATTTATTATTTTTTTACGTGTTGAGTAATTTATTTACCTTTTACAATAAGAACACTCTATAAGCTGCATTTTACCGTCAAATTCATTTTGTATTTTCCGTGTATTTGGTTTTTGTTTATACTATTGGCGCTGGGCGTTCGGTGCACGAAATTCATATTTTTTGTGTTTTTCATTTTTTACCTATAGTCTATTATGTTCTGTTTTTTTTTTCTTTATCTGCATTTGAATTTCTATTTTATCTGGCTATTAAGTTAATCCTTGTTTATCGTTATATTTTTGCTCTATTTAATTTCAGTGTGTTTTTTAGTTATTTTATTTCTTTTTTCTGAATTTCTGAAATGAAATTTCAATTTATTTTCAGTTCTTACAAATAGAGTTAGTACATGCATATACCTACATACATATGGACTATTTTTGAGAATTTTTTTTCCAGTGTTTTTTTTTTATGTCTGAATGTACTTATGTATGTAAGTAAATACTTAAATGAAATCTTAGAAATAAATTGCCTTTGGTATTTCATTTGAAGTTGTCATTCATATGTTTCGGTTAAGGGTTAATTGACCGGAAATACAGTAATAACAGCAAAAATTATATCGTAAGTACAGTAGTTATGTCATGTATTCGTACGAGTGTGGAACTATCTTAGTTGGCAGATGTGTTTACTATATTAGGTATTTACTAGTTTTATGTACATATTGCCAAACTTCATGCGATATCTCAAATTCTGTTATATAAAAGTGTTAACTAAAAATTTTAATTTTTAATAAAATCAACTTTTTGCAAAATTTAACGCAATTTTTTTAAAGTACTATTGTCAATAAAGTTTTAGGAATGTTTACAATCCAGCAGCGAGATTTTGAAAGGGTAGTCTTTGAATTTAAACTGCGCCTATGCTGAGAATATTTGTGCAGTGTTAAGACTTTGCTACGGTAGATTAGATGTACTCCAAAAAAAAATTGTGATCAGATTTGCTTTAAATAAATATTTTTTCTAGCAAAATCTCAAGAATTGTTTTTTTAAGTTATTATCAAGAATAAAACATTTGTTTATTGTTCTATTTATTTTTCTTAAGGTCCTACGTGTAATCCAGGGGTAAAAAAAAACCTTCGTTTTTCCTCCAATTTTTGCGAAAAGTGAAAAGTGAAAAATCTCCGTAGAAATTCTCATTCAGAATATGCGAGGGAGAAGAGAAATAGACCCCAGTAAATTTTATTCAGAATTTAAGCGACAGTTTTTGGCTTAGTATTCGTTGATTATCCTTAAGCAGGGATCACACGATTTGTGCATTTGTACATTTTGGCAATCACAGAGTGGTGTTGCCTAAAATTTTTTATCGAGAATGAATTCAGCTTAATAAAAGAACCCCACTCTGTAACTATCAAAAGGTACAAATCGTGTTATCCCTGCTTAAGCTTGCCGTAAGCTATATACATACATGCGTATAATAAAAACTTATGGAGGAATATTCACCAGAAAATCTCGAACACATTCAAAATTTCACCACTCGAAACTTAAAATCAAACCATATTAAGTTGCCTGAGAACTTTCAAATTATTTATTAAATTTTACAGTATTTATTAAGCATTATTTCAATTATTTTCGCTTGAAAATCCTAAATACTTTCTTTCTCGTCATTTCATCACACTTGATTTATTGAATCTTATTGTTTAGCATTCATTTCTATTAAGTACTACTATAATTATTCAATTACCATACTAAGTATATTTGTTACTACTGTTAGTATTTGTCAGTAAAGTAATTCTTGCTCGGCATCTTGGTATTACACTTTCAATTAGTTGAATTTATTTAAATTTATGTACAAATTTTAGTACCATTTTAACGTGTTTAACTTTACTGTTGCGTTTTGCTGCACAACGTCTAGAGTTGACTCTTGAGAGATGTTAGGCTTTTAGAGCTTAAAAACTGGGTTTTCAGTAGCCACTTACACAAAGTCTGAAAAGTGGTAAAACAGTCTTTAAGTGAACAAAAATGTAGGCCCGTAATTCATGTCCAGTTTACGAAACATATAAGTATGCCCACTTTTTCAATTGCCAAAAATTTATGACAGTTATTTGAACAAGTTTTTAAATAGCTAGAAATTTGTTTTAAATTTATAAATAACCAAAAAATGTTCACTCATGCTTTTAATGACCAAAACTTTATGTCCAGTTAATGCTTTCAAGCATTCTTAAAGCCTTCAATTGTCAAATTTCAACTCTAGTGTCCCTACATCTGCTCTAAATTTAAGTTTTATTTACATATTTGTCAAATATGTGAACTCGCATTATGTTTGATTGTGTGTGTGTGTGAAACATTGGAGCAATCAATTCTCATCTTTTGTAAATACTAAAAATTGTCTATGCCTAATTTCAATTTCCTTGAATTTCAATTATTTATACATATTTTTGTCAATAACAATTACTTTAGTTAATTTATTGGATTTTGCAATCGCCAAATTCGCTTGCATGGCAGGATAATATTCGCAGACGCATTTTCACGGTCAGACATTACCATTTCATACGCAAATATGTATGTATGTATGTACATCGTTTGCTTGCGAGCCGATCATTAGCTTTTAAAAACTTTATAAATTTGCTCGTAATTTTACGTGTTCTTATTTTTGTCTAACGGCTTACTCGCCTGCAAAATAGTATTCAAAAATTTAATCAGAAAATATTGAACTAATTTTTTACCTTCAGCCTTACTTACCTGCGGACTAACGCTGGCCTTGCGTACATTCCTGCCATTTTTGGCTTGGCTTTCTCAGAGATCTATAAGCGATATAACTTCTTGATTATTCAAAATACTCTCGAAGTCACTCTCCGACCATCAGGGATCCGAGTGAAAGACATGAAAAGAATTCACTATGGTTCGGTTGGTAAGCAGACCCTTCATCCACATTTCGAAATTAATGTAGCCAACATTGTGGGGATCAAATGAACGGAAGGTGCGTTCCAACTGGGAAATAAATAGAAGATGAAAAGAGTTGTAGAAAACTGGAAGGTTAAATACGTGAGATCATTTTTTTTTTTTAATATTGTGTTATGCCACATAATAAGTAACTTCGAACTAAGCTTGATTTAAAAATATTGACGGGTACACCCAAACAGACTACATAAAATGGGGTAATGAAATTTAGGTTAAGTTTGGCAGGCGCGTACGAATGAAAAGCACTTTCAATGACACGCACTTTCCATATTGTCGGTATGGCTCCGAAATTTTCACTTCGGCTAACTCCCCCCACAGCATTGAAAAGGCTCAATGAAAAATGTTTGAGGCGCCTTGTTTGCAAAGTAGGACATTGCCGCAGGAAGTGGTGAATTGCTCCTCTTTCTCATCCCAGAGGAAGCTCGTTGGCACACGCCATTCATGAAGCATTGGTGTTATGGCACAGTGCCCTCTAATGACGTCAGACCGCAGGTTGGGTTAACGTCAATAATCCCTCAGTACGACAATTATTAAGTTTCGGTCATAAGAATCATGTAATCTCACAGCTGTCACAATTGATCCATAGGTTATTAGTTACGGCTGTGATGTAGGTGTAGGGGGTGAAAAGATCCTTGGACTCCACACCCTTGGGTGGACAACGTAAGCAAGGGTACCCACTAACACAATGCAAGGACCAGAAGGATCTTTGCTCTGTCCAGGAAGCCATCACAGGAAGATTGTGACGTGACTCATTGAAGCCAGCGATGCACGATATCTCCGAATTACTTTCGACTTTACTACATTTGAAGCTAATTTTTTTAATACTGCCTGGCAGGCGATATAATGGCTTCATATTCAGGTACGCATCCTTTTATAAAGCCCAGCCTCGAACGTATTTCTTCGGAAACCGGGCGACCTCAGGAGTTAGTTGCTTAACCTTACCCGGTTACTGTAGATCTCTGTACGAACGGACGACACTATGTTTTCGCCACCTCCACCCCAACGCGAGCTGCGGCACTGAAGACTTTTTCTACGGACGCACTAGCCGACTAACTAGCGTACCATGGTAGCCTTCAGCGCATGCACTGAGCATCCTGTGCCCTGGAGTAGTGAGAGTTCCACCCTGCGAGCAGCGTCTGTTGAGATTTCTTCAGTTGGTCACAGTGCCAACTTGATGATCTTTAGTAGGATCAAGGAGTTCAGCCGATCACAAAACCTTAAAGTCACCCACCAAGTTTGACGTATAGATTGCCGCCTGGCTATCTCACCGATCAAGAAGGAGCACAATGACTGCGTAAAGGTGAAAGTAGACCTTCTATTGGCGGTAAAGGATACACCAGTAAAGGCACCAGAAATAAGTCAAAGCACCCAAAGACTGTAATCGGGCCTCTGTTGTGAAAGCAACAGATCAGAAGAGCATAGGTGTCATAAATGAAAGCAATAAATAAGGCAAGTTCCCTATGCACCAATGGAAGTAGAATTGTGGCGCTGTGTAAGATAGCAATCGACAAAATAGGCTAAGTGTACTCAGGATCTCGTCTTAAAGTTGATGAGTCTCAAAATATCTTGTAAGGAGCCAGGGAGAAAGACGAGGTACCATCAGACCCTGCGGATGTGTTGACGATACCCCTAGCGGTTAAATGTAAAGGTGTCTTTAGAACAGGAAAAAGTTCCTTTAAAATTATTATCCTTTGACATGTTATCCATATCCCTGATAAACTAAAAACGTGCATTTGTTAGGGTTTAGCTCTATTGAGCCATAGTGTGATAATCTTAGTACAATATCTTAGGCAACAGGTTAATTTCAAGTAGTTGCGGTTTTCTACCGGAATCTTACAAATTATTATACTTTAGATTTATAATATTTTTACGACATATACGACGAAGGCAAAACAGTACTGATTTTTTTGTATGGGAAGTGGTACACCCTAATACACATACGTATTTATTACAAAAAGCATGAAGAGAATATGCATATAGGACACTCTAATGAACGATACCAATTGCAAGGGATAGCATTAAAACATGAACTCTTGGAAGTTTTTCAATCTATCTTCTCAGTTCTGCAATAATAACAAACAATCTATAACTAACCCAACTTCCCATTTCCCATACCTGATCTTTGGCTTTTCTATCCTCCTCCGGTTGGTGCGGTCGTCGACCCATTAGCTCGTGTATCGAATGAAATAAATCGCTCATTTCGCCACGTGATATTCGACCATCACCATTCACATCGTACAATTTGAAGGTCCATTTAACTTTGTCGTACACTGTACCGCGCAGCAGTGTTGACAGTATATTGAGAAAGTCCTATTTTGTAAAAAAATATAGAAAAATAAAAATATAGACATTTCAATAGCAAATAAAATTAAAATCTAAATTAAAATAATATATATTTTCCACTCCTCAACCACTCACCCGAAAGTTCACGGACCCTGTACTATTCGTATCGAATGTTCTGAACACGTGGTGAGCGTATAAACTGGAATCTAAAATAAGGAACGTATCAATAATGTAGTAGATATGTATGCAATCGTCTTTAACACAATACCATTAAATTCTTAAGTGTCAAATATCTGACAATAATCCCTAATCGATAAGTTTGTAAAATTTATAAAAAAAATTTTACTTATACGAATACTTACTGCCATGTGGAAAGAACTTTGCGTAAATTTCTTTGAAGCATTCTTCATGCACAACGCCTTCGGGACATTCCTGCAATATGGAAAGAGAGCAAAATGAAGAGTTTATCACATGACCCGTACTGGAGGACACTTTCCAATGCATAAGCATCGAAGCATAAAGATGTCGTAAATATTTTATGCGTTCATAACTTTTCAAAAAGAAACCAAAAGTTATACTAATGGGTAAATGTGTAGATTAGGGTGTTCCAAAAATGTATGTGAAAAAGTAAAGTCGGGATTTTTAAGCTCTCAACCCCTAGAGTTATTGACTACCGAAAAAAACCCCGATTTTTTTATTTTGATATCAAAAAAAAGGATAGTGGTCGCTCAAAGCGCTAAAATTTTCCATGTATTTTATATAGAGAAAAAACCACTTTTCCTAGAAATGGTATAGAATTCTTAAAAATCAACTCTGCAGAAGATTCCCAATAATAGTAGCAATTGTTAACTTAACTTTTTTTCAAAGTAACTATAATCTATGGTTGGAACAAAAGCGCCTAAAAACCCTGCAATGGGGCGACCAATAAAAAATCTTTAGTAAGTCTCCCGAAGAGAACTAGACTTTTCCGATCAAAAAATATTGATTTTCAAGAATTCTATACCATTTCTACAAAAAGTTGTTTTTTCCCTATATAAAGTGCATGAAAGACTTTGAGCCCTTTGAGCGACCTCTGTAGATCTTTTATACTTTTTTTCGAAATAAAACAATCTTAGGTGGTGAGCGCATTAAAATTCCGACTTTAGTTTTTTTTTTTTTTGACCACCCTAATGTACACACACATATATGCATGTGTGAGCTTTGCGCTTGTACATAAGTTTGTATGTAAATAAAAGTGTTGTGCTTGTTCGTGATTTTCGATTTAGTAGAAACTTTTTAGTTTTTGATATTTTTGTGAGACATCTTTGCTGCGCCACGCTAATCATAACTTAATGAACTTTTCTATGAGCAACTCCGTGCCAAAATATTTTGAATACTCGTACAAATTTGTATAGATTTAAACTTTCAGCCACTTTTTTTTAATTATTATAGCATTTTAATTAATTCAGAGTTAGACTAAATTTTTATTTTTCGACCAGAGTCGCTGATTTTCATTCTTTGTTGATAGCTTGATTTTTTTGTACAGGAACAGTCTTTAATACAAACAAAAAAAAAAAACAATTATAAAAAAAAGTATTTTTAAGCTTTTTCACCGTTAAAATTTGATTTTTTTTTTTTAATTCACAATGCAAACTTGAAATGGGCCTGGTTTAGAAAAATGGTATACAGATCCCTAATCTCCGACCCAAAATTGAGTACATAAAAAATGTACTACACGTTTTTTGTGTAATTTTAAATCTTGAGATTTTTCCTTCCATCTTCTTTTTGTCCAATTATCTAGCACTTCAAGATATGGTTATCGAAGCTAGTCACACCAAGTTGACATAACGAAAGAAATTTTCTAAAGTAATATCGCCATTATTCGTGTCGAAGCCTTGGACCACTGTCTATGTGCTACGTGCATAATTTTTTGCCTCGCATCAAATTTTTACAGTTTCCTTTCAAAGAGTTTATGCTTAATAAAAAGGCTTGCGGAAAAGTTCAATTTCAGCAAATATTAAGAACTTAATGATCCATGACACATAATATCATGGCACATACATACATACATATTTATAGATACACACATATGTATGTGTATATACTCGGCTTCGATTTCAGTGGCAGCAAATTTTATCGCCCGACAACGCTAAAATCGTTTTTTATAATATTAACAAATAATATTTTATGTGTTCTAGCTATTTGGGGTACACTAGAGTGTGTCGCGAAAAAAAAGTATCTAAATAGGTACCGTGTTTAAAAACTCACTTCGGGGAAAAAAATTGTGGATGTTTTCTTTTACCAGACCAGGTGTTTTTGTGGTCACTGGCCACACGAATCCGAAGTCCGTTTTTCTCCAGCAAGTCAGGATTTCTAAACTCAAAAAACCTGGTGGACTTTATTGTATAGATATTGACAAATTTACTTTAATCTTGGTAGTTAGGGGGTTTGAAGTCATTTTTTGCAATTATGAAATCAGATTTTCTTCAAAAAAGGCAAATTCAATATGGTGGTAGAATTAAAAAAAAAAAATTATTATATTCTAAAGGAACCAAACCCCATAGATTTTTTTTACGAATTTTGAGTCAGTGGACATTTTTTAATTGTTAGATTTTGATTTCAGAGATCTGGCTTTAGATTCGTATCAGCAGGGAATGGATTTTATGGAAATTGCCTTTTTCTGCTAAAGAGATAGAGTATATTCGATTAATAATGTCCACGATTTAGCTTTCCCTGATTCCATATATACACATTTGATGTTGCCTTTTTTTGCCTTTTTAAGATATTTGCCTTATTTTGCCTTTATTTTACCTTTAAAAAAGTGATTATAGCGAAGACAAAGCCCTTATTCCTGATAATATAAAAGTTTCAAACGTTCCATATTTAAATTGGGCGCCACTTGTATCAACTCACGTCGAGCGCACGTTTAGTACATTCAGAGCTGTGTTAAAGCCTGTTCTGTTACAAAAAAAATCAAGTTGATAATGAAGAAAATCGATGTATAAATAAAGAAGTAATAAGTGGTCATATGAAAATGCGCAAAGATTTTTTTGTATGGAGAATGAGCAGGAAAGAATGTTACTCATACGTACGGTGACCATATTTATGGGAGCCGAATACGGGACAAAAAATAATATTTTTTAAAGAAATTCGTTAAGTTTTAAATTTAATAAAGTGTAATTTTGATATCGCTAAAACTTTTTTGGCAATTTTTTTGTTGACGGTCTTACGCAGTTTTTCATAAAAAGTAAGTACCTATGTTCGACCATTTTTTAAAGGAGAAGCAAATGGCAGCACTTTCCACTTGCAATTTGTTATACTAAATTTTAACGAGCTACAAAACTACAAACCAAATTTTTTTTTCTAAAGATTCTAATTAAATGGTTTGAAATTTTGGTGAAACATTGCAGAATTAATTTGTATGGGTTTTTCCACAAAGTCGGAAATCTGGATTTAATAAAAAAATAATAAACATTAAATAAACTAAAGAAAAATAGTCAAACCCTGCTAAAATTTCGGGACTTATTTATATTTTGGTCACTGTATGTATTCGTCGATTCAAATCACAGGCATTCAGTTTAGAAATAATAGCTGTTTATGGAGAAAATCACGATGATATACCAACAGCACTTAAAGCTGGTACATAGGCATGCAAATTTTAATGAGCAGTTAAGGAGTCAAAATAACGAACACCGAATACGGGGCAAATACAGGGCATTAAAAGAAATACAGAACATTTGGCGTCCCGTATAAAATAAATAAATTACCAGGACAATGGGTCAAAAAAGAGGACTGTCCCGTATAATACAGGACGGATGGTCACCGTACTCATACGCAATGTATACCTGAAAACTTATCGAAAACCTATCCATAGAATAAAAAATTAACTTGATTTTCGGAAGCAGCGAGCAATTCTATATAGGAATTGGATAGCGGCGTCCGTTGAGTATTTTTCCTGTAAACCAATTTATATTTTTCAGTTTTCAGTTCTATTGTGTGCCTTCTTTTGCCTTGTTTGCTTTTTCTAGCGCCTTTCCGCCCGGATTTTTTAAGTTGGAATAAAATCCAGCCGTTGTGGAGAAAAACGGACTTCAAATTTGTATTCAGCGACCCCAAGAACATGCAAACCACATGGTCTGGTCAAAACAACCTTTCATGGCCATGTGCTATCTACATGTACATGGCGTACATATGAACCAAAAAAAAAAAAATATTTATATTTTTCCCCTGTTAAAATTTGAATTTTATTCATTTTCATTTTTGCATCAAAAAGCAATATATCTGGAATGATTAACTTACTTCTCAAAAACAATCAAGTCAATCGAAAAGTGATGTTAAAAAAAACGTTGTTTTTGCTAGTTATTCATCATTTCTCATGCTCTCCTTATACCTATAAATATGTCATTAATTTAAAAAAAAAGTCATATGCCAATTCCACATGCGTTTTTCATCATTCATTTTCATCACATACACATGTAATAATCGCAAAAATAAATATGATTTATGCTGTGTGTATTTCAAATACATATCTACTTGTTAGAATTAATAAAACAGTGTAAAATGTCGTAAATCGATTATAGGATATACTTACTTACTTGTTCTTCTATTTACCTATCTCATCCCTAACTTACCGTTTTAAATCCACGATACATAATTCGTATTTCTTGTTTTGAGAATTTCGTTTCGCGATACAAATCTTCGATCGTTACGTTAATCGGCTTAGGCACTCGGGTGTGTTCCAATTCGAAGACAACCTCCTCGATGGGGCTTTCCGGTGGCGAAGTCATATTGAATCAATATTTGTATGTGTGTGTGTGTGTGCTTTTGTTTTACGTTTTGTATTTAATTTAAAAAAAAAATATCCCAGAAATCAATGAAGAACGTAATTAACGCGATAACGCGGGATGTTAAGGGCGTTTGGGTTCAAGGAAAATTGTTTATGTTGCGTGCAAGTTTACACAAGTCGCAATGCGTTAGCAATTAAGTGTTTGCTTAACTAACTTTTTTACAAGCTACTTGGCAAATTTTTTAAAATTAGTTGAACTTTTTTGTTTTTAGTTAAGTGTGGAATGGTGGTAGTTCCGCATAGGAATATAGCAAATAACCGGCAAGATAAGTAATCCAGTGCGTTGTACTATTTGCGATTGCTGCATTGCAATCTGTTTTAGTAATTCCATTAAATTCAATTCGCTTGATTATTGTTAATGTTGTTTTACACGTTTTTTGTGGTGGTGATGGTGGTGGTTATGGTGGTTGTTGTTTTTGCTTTTACAATTCACACGCTTCTTTGTATGTTGTGCAATTTTGTGGCTGTTTTGGCTTAGTTTGATTGGTTAGTTGGTTGATTAGTCAGTTCGCTTGTTGATTTGTTGATTTGTTGATTACGAGTATTTAGTTGATTAGTTGGTTGTGGTTTGGCTTGAATCGCTACCACGACGTTGGTACTGCATTCTTTGGTTGGCCGAAACGGTATTTAGTTGCATAGATAGCAGTTTGATTGAACAGAACAGTAGTTGTTCACATAATAGTTGTTCGTTCTTATTGTTGGTGCTGATTTTTTTTTTATTTGTGGTGCATTTTTGGTGTGTTTTAGCTCGATTTGTTGTTGTTGTTGTATGACATTAATTAGGTAATTTGTTTGGTTGGTTGTTTTTGTTAACTTTTTGTTTCGGCGGTTTTGAATTTATTTTACAAACTTTTTTTGTTGTATTTACAAACGTCTTAAATACTCATGCATGTATAGCAATTTTAATTTTTCTCAGTTTTCTGCTTTAGCTTATACGCTTTTTATGATTTTAATAGTGACGCTCTATTTTTGCTGCCAGCAACTGTAATTGATAGAAGAATAAAAACAAGTTATAATTAGCAAGGTGGCAAAAATCGTGTTTTTGAAAAAAACTTTGAACGCCCATCAACTAAAAATATTTATTTGGGAAAATTTTTGTTTAAGGCGTCAAACCTGTAGAAATGATCGTGGCGCTTTTTAATGTAGTATTATTATTTTATACGGATAATAGGCAGAAATTTCACTTTAGTCGCGCGTAGGATTCGCACACCACTTTTTTTTGAGGGGACGGATTTGTAACTCGATCATGCATTTCAATAGCTATCTTTCGCACTTTACTGCATATTCGCATTTCAAAAACATCAAAACATTGGTCTTAGCTTAAGTAATGTAGAAGATATTAGCGTTACAGTATATGGACTATCAGTACGGTGACCATTCGTACTTTATTTCAAAGGACAGTGCTTTTTCACAATAGCTTGTCCTCTGACTTTATTTATTTGTCTAAAAATCTACTTTGTCCTTTATTTCAAAACTTGACTCACTAGAAGTTGACTCGCAGAAGTTCACTACTTTTGAACTAGCTGTGATTACGCCCCGACTACTTTATGTACTTTTAGCTGAATACTTTTCCTTGGTGTTGTCGCGCAAAAAGTCAGTTTGTTTTCAACTAACTAAAAACTGGTTATTTATAAGCTGACCTTTGGTATGCTAATTAATAGAATATTTTAAGAAGCTCACTTTTTATACTTTTTTTTTAGATTAGCTATTACCTATTAATTGCCATGAACATAGCTCAAATGCACGTCTTCGCGTTTCAACGTATGATTTTTGATTTTTGTTAATGGTTTTTCTTAATTACGAAAAATTAAATGAAAATGGGCCCGTTTCATATAGAAAATAATTAAGGAAAACATTCTAGAGAAGGCTCTTCCGTAATTGCTTTTAACTCCTTCTTTTTTTTCTGGGTAAATATACATGCACTGCTGGAACAAAGTATTGCCACAGCAAATTTTTCACAATATATGCAACAATTTTTATTCTAATATTTTTCCGTCAATTTTTTATAAAAATATGATTCATTCTACAACAAAAACATAAAAATATAAGATTTTCATGAAAATTTTTAATTTTTGATTAGTTTTCTTTTTTAGAAAACTCGAGAAAATTCAGCAAATTTTCATGAAAATTTTCAACTTTTTGATCAGTTTTTTTAGAATTTTTCTGAGTATGCATACTTGTAGCCCAATTAATTTTATTGTAATAAAGTACAAGTTTTAAGTAGCTAGGAAATACCGTTGATTTTTGGGAAATTTATTTCACGCAGCCTCTTCCATACAAATTTTTTTTTCGAAAATACTTTATATGGAAAAAATGCAAAACACCTTCAACAAAAATTCTCGAAAAGCAGGTCTGCAAAACTGCCTACTCAAAAAAGTTCTAAAAAATCTGATTAAAAAGTTTGAAATTTGCAGAATTTTGCAAAAGGAGTTATATTTTTATGTACTTTGTTGCAGAATTAACCATATTTTTATACAAAATTGGAGGAAAAATATTGGAATAAAAATTGTTGCATATATTGTGAAAAATTTGCTGAGCCAATACTTTGTTCCGGCAGTGTATATTTTTCTTTTTGTGCACAAGTTTTTATTTTTTTCTTTTGAAGGGAATATGGTGACAAAAATACACATACATAAATATGTACATATTTCTTCAGCTGAGCCCTGATTGACTTTTATATGTTGTATGACTTTGAAAGCAATTAAAAGTTGGCCGTAATAAGTGGTCCAAAAGTTAACTATTTCAGTAGTTGACTACGAAGTTCCCGACAGGGATATGTGCACACACTCACATGCATATTCTAACAAATAGCAAATTTAAAAACAATGACATGGAAAATTTGTGTTTATCTTCACAACATGGTTGCATCCTGCTGTTTTTGCGAAAGCATGAAAAAAAACAAGGCTAAAACTACGACGAACAACAAAGAGTTATGAAAAATAGTAGTTTCATGAATTGTTCACTGAAAAAGAAAAACTAAACAGAAATCAACATATGTAAATACTCATTTAGATGGCGTGGCATTGTCATAGTAGATAGCGAAGAATAGTTGCAAATTCTGTTCATATGTACATCTTTAAGTACTGTATGAGTAGGAGATGAAGCGTGAAATCGCAAATAGTTTGAGGCACGCAAAACAATGCCGCGAAGGACTGTATCGAAACCCCCCCCCCCCCCCCATTTTCCTTGGTTAGGCCTGCCACAGAGCACACGCGTTGCATGCTGACATGCAATGCATTAAGGGAGTGCCGCCCCAGCGTTTATTGCCCCAGTAGGTTATATGAACTATGTGTACGTGTATATGTATGAATAAAATTACTACCAGTCATGAAAAAGGCAACATTGGCAAACTAGTCGACAAACATGAGTAATAGTGTCAAGTACAGTTACTACACACAATCAAGCAAACAAATTAATATTGACGAAATAGGTCAAAATCACTTACAATCCAACTCAGCGAATAGATACCTAGCATACCAGCATATACACACACACGCTCAATATTAAAGCAATTCAATTCGAATTGAAGACACTTTAGGTAATTCAAAACCGACCAAACCCACTCATCAACTGAGCGTCAGTTAGAGCGACGGCCAAGGCGTTTACAAAATGCCAAAACGCGCCTTTAAACTACACGGTTTGACACAATTACGCGCTCAAAACAAATTGCCAAATGTCATTTCATATTTTATTTTTATTTTTATTTTTTTTCACTTTACAAACTATTTTTGAAGCATTTAAGCCAAAAGAGGTTCATCCTTTTGCTACATTGACTTTATAAGCCTCGCCGAGGGTTGCCAAAAAATGCAGGCAACAACAACAACGGTGTTGAATGGAATAAAAAGCGTTAGTGCGAGGTTTTACATAAATCAACGCCAATAATTGTCATTTATTTTTTGTCAAATTAAATATTACCAAATGACCTCAAATTTGTGGCGATAAGGCGGAATTGGCAAAATTACAAGAAATGGCTGAATAGCCAAGCAAAATGGCAACCAAAGCCAAATTGGGCAGCTAAGAACATATTTTAGCAGCACGCGACTTAATATTAAGTGAAAGATGATTCAGTTAAATTTGAATCTATATGTACATATGTAAGTGTACTTACATGCTTACATATGTATTTCTGCAAATGTCCTCTCTGTGGGTTGGATATATAGCATAATTTTATGAACTTAATTACCAATTCTTAAGAAATTTTTCAATTCTAAATAAATGCGCTTGTTAATCGATTCATCGACTAATCGGTTGACCAATAGAAAATTAAAAAAAATGCCAAGTTAATTAAATATGGAGATTTATTTAACATGGTTGTTTTCAGGACAAAAAACTTATAATTCAAGTAAATTTATTAACTGAATTCTTTTTTTCTATTTTTATTGAGCTTAACGAGGTTATTATTGAAAAATTTTGTGGAAAAACAACAATAAAAATATTTAATAATAAAAATATTGAAGATTTTTCTTTAAGGAGCTAAGGAGCAAATGAATTTTTTTAGCTCTTTGTTCCAGCTCCGCTGCAGCTAAAATCCTTTGCTTCTTAGCTCCTTGCTCCTTTGCTTCGCTCCGCTGGGAAGCCCTACAAATAAACCAATAGGGAACAGCTTGTTATTTTGACTCCATATCAAAATTCCGTCAATGTTACCACCAACACGCTTCCTTTCAAATGAAAATATGGGTGTCAAACTACCAGATTGCCGGCAATAGATGTCAAGCAATAAGCGCTGGCATATCCCTGCAGTGAAAAGCCAAACCAGTTTGTAAAAATACCAGTTCATTAACTAGTCTGTGCTAATGCGATGGCCAGCCAGTTTCGCGATTTCGAAGAACTTAAGCGTTCAGCGACATCTGCCTGGTTCTGGTGCTGAGATCGCAGATTCGATTCCGCTTGGAGGTGGTTAGCATTTTTAAAATTAATTCAGTGTAAGTCAATATAATCATTTCAATTTAAATATAAATAATAAATTTGATAATCTAATTTCATCGAAGAAATAGTACATGTGCCATAAAACAAGAAATGAATAAAAATATGTTTTTTATTAAATTTAAAAATTACAATAAAAACCATAAATAAAAAATAAATTAATAAAAAAATTTCCCTGCGTCAGAGATAGAACCGTGGACCTCAGTACAACCACGCCAGTTCTATGCTCTATCGGCCATTGGTACTGATGGAGCGCCGCGAGCAAGGGATGAACTGGCACATCATCATCTCACCAACTGGTATGATGCTACTAGTACTTCTAGTAGTAGATGCTAATGCATAGTCTGACAATTGACATCTCGTAGGACATCGTCATGTTAAAAATACCACTCGCTACCATTGAAAAAGTTGGGCTGAAAAGCAAACTGGTAGTATTTTAGTTCACAACTAGTAGCTTTCTCTCAATACGTTTCCATTCGATACCAGCTTATTTTAGGAAATATTCCTAAAAAAACTAAGCTCGATGGATAGCAGTTCATTCATAAACCAAGTTAAGGACTTTTGCCAATTATGCTTAATGCGCAAACGAGATTCCTTTCTCCATTTTGGTCGATTATCACGAAGTTCTGTGCTTTCAATATTTCAATTACTATAAAGGAAATCTTAAAAGACGTTGCTATATCAAACTATCCGCTCATTTCAAAATTTACTTTCGCTTGCCTTCTTATTCTAAACCATTTTACCTAATTTATGAGAGCATTATATTTTTTAACAGATTTTGCAAAAAGCAAACAATAAAATAATTTTGAATATATGTATGTAAATAATTTCAAGTCTTTGCCAAAAAAGGGCTCTTCTGAATGTATGCACACAAAAGCCATAAACAACCACATACATTTTTATGTGCACATGCAGTTATGTACCAACTTTTATGACAAACATATGTATGTACATAAATGCAGACCATAGTCGCGTGCGTGTGGTCGACCACTAAGCCAAGTCTCGTCTAGTCTGTCACGTATTTAAATCGTATAACAGTTTTTGTTGTTGTTGTTTGT